TGCTGCTCCCGTGCCCCACAGGCCCAAAGCAGCACGGCCCCCTCACACCCTGCCATGTCCTCAAGGAAAAATCTGAGATCTGTCCCCCATATGCCCAGGTGCAGCTTCTATCTCTTCCCCTTCCCCTCCCCTTTTGCTTTTTGCTGGGCTCCTCACCTCCAATCTCCCTTTTCTGTCCACCTACAGAAACCTTCTCTCAACGATGACCCTCCCTAGTCCTGCTCTTTTAGGCCCCGCCCCTTTAGCTGGGGAGATCAGAGGAAGGGGTGCAAGGGGGTGCAGTCTCCAGCAGATCCCAGGCCCTTGGACTGGTGGAGCCGGGAGGGCTCAGGGGCAGCCCAGAGCAACACCCAGGCCCGGACAGCAGGAGGGACTGTTCCAAGTCACCCCACCGGGAGTAGCGTCCAGGCTCCACTGCTCAGGGCAGCCCTTCTCCAACTTCCCACAGCGCCCGTCCTCATCTCCTCCCTTTCTCTGCACATCCTGCTCCCCAGCTCCCTTCTATTCTTTCCAGGCTGTCCTGTGTGCCTCCCCCACCCCCAGGCCCCAACTCCTGCCTCTCTGCTGACTGCTGGCCTCCCAGGGCAGCCAGGAGAGGAGAGCCCTTCCTGAAGGCTGCCTCTGGTGGAGGCTGGGGTGAATGCCACTGAGACAGACAGCAGTGCATGGACGCCTCACTCCTCTGCCTCCCGGACCTCAGCTCTGGCCAGTCCTGTGCCCGCTTGCCTTGCAGCACTGGAGGCAGGACTGGGCCCGGCTGGGCCCTGGGCCGGGGGTGGCGGGGGGCAGAGGCAGGACTCGGCAGCCAGTCTGACCTGACTATCCCCCAGGTTGTCATTAACCCCAACTACGAGGTTGCGGAGTCTGACTACACCAACAACATCATGAAGTGCAGGACCCGCTATGACGGCCACCGCATCTGGATGTACAACTGCCACATAGGTAAGCTGCCCGGGCAAGCACAGCAGCCAGGGTGGACCCCAGGCCTGCCAGGGCCCCCTGCAGCGCACCGTGCAGGAGACCAGCAAGGGCCTCCCTCCTTTCTCAAGGAGCCGGAGCAGCTTCCTAGCTTGGGTCCAGAGCTTGGGGGACACAGCCAGCCTCACGTGCCCACACACAGGAAGGACGCGGCAGACACACAGACCTCGGCGCAGATTGGGCTTTCGCAGCCAGCTCTGGCCAAGGCGGGTGGGACGGAACTGGTGGCCCAGCACACACTCCAAAGCTATTTAAAGGTGGCTTGGCTCCCACCTCATCATGCACATGGCCTCAAAACTGTGGGCGTCAGCCATTTGTGGCTCTCTGTATCATTTTTCCTCTGTCGAGAACTAGTGGCTGGTGAGCCAATGTGGCTTCTGATCACCAAAAAAAGAAACTTTTACTTGTGCTATGCAGCTGGGGGCCCGAAAGGGGAAGCAGAGCTTTTCCTTCTGTGGCAAAAGCGATGGCCCTCACTCTTGGTGATTATTCACTGCTCCACTGAACTGATAGAGTGCCTGACCTGTCCCAGCCCCAGGGGCTGCCCTGGTGGCCTCACAAAGAGGTGGCCCCAGCAGGCCACCTGCTGAGGTTGGTGGCTCCAGGGCCCCTGAGGCGAACCGCCATAGCCAGGGTGGGGTCTGAGCCTCTGGTTGCTAAACCCTGTCTCCCTGATGCCCACCCCTCAGGCGGTTCCTTCAGTGAAGAGACGGAAAAGAAGTTTGAACACTTCAGTGGACTTCTAAATAACCAGCTCTCCACGCGGTAGGGCTGCCTCCGTGCTATCCCCCCGCTCCGGGCCACAGCGCATCTTCCCCAGCTGCAGTCTGACCGAAGGACCACCACGCTCCGCCTCACCCAGTCCAGCCCCTGCTCCACCTGGACGCTCTGCGGCCTCGGCCAAACTCAGGGGGAGAGGTGTTCCCGACATCTGCAGGGGCTGCTGTACAGAGTGAGGCTTGTCCCCAGGGCCGTGGGAGAAGTGCCACCAGCCATCTCGTCCAGGACCCCAGGTTGTCATCAATTTGTCCCATCGAACCACAGTCCCCCAAGTTTGACACCACACTGCTCACACCACTGATAATAGGGGGCCATTTTCTCCTCAGGTGCCTTGTTGGCGATCCAGCTTTACCAACCCGAGGGAGGCTGCATCCCACTTCCCCTCTTAAGTCATTTCCAGCCAACTTGAAAGCCTAGAACGCTCTTCCAATGAATCAAACTGCCTCTGCCCTCCTCCATTCTGTTCGCAAATAGAAATAATGCTGCCACGTTTTCTGAGCGGTGAGCTCAGAGTAGGTGCTTCTTCCCACGGACCTTTTGTGGCTCCTTATAAATTTTTGGAATATGTGGTCTAGTTCCATGAAATATATCATGGGTGTCTTGGTAGGAATTGCATTGGATCTGTAGATTGCTTTGGGTAGTATGGACATTTTAATGATGTTAATTCTACCTGTCCATGACATGGTATGTATCTTCTTGTTGGAGATACCACTTATTTGTATCTTCAATTTCTTTCTTCAGTGTCTTATAATTTTTCTAGTACAGGTCTTTTATACCCTTGGTTAAATTTATTCCTAGGTACCTCATTTCTTTATTGCAATAGTAAATGAAATTGTTTTTAGTTTCACTTTCTGATAATTCATAATTGGTGTATAGAGCTACCATTGAGCTTTCCATCTGGCCGCAGCCATCGGGTAAGCCAAGTTGGGTGCTTATAAGTACATCCAGGGGCTGTGGAGGAAGCAGCAATCCAATGTGATGTGCTTTCTTCTTAGGGTGCGCTGCTGGCATACCGCCAGTTCTCTGTGCTCCACAGGGCCTCCTGCCCCACTAGACCCAATAAAGCCCACAGGCTGGCGTACAAGGCCAAGCAAGGCTAGGTCATGTATCAGATTCATGTGCGCCACGATGGCTGCAAACACTCTGTTCCTAAGGGTGCAACCTATGACAAGGCTGTCCACCGTGGTGTTTACCAGCTAACGTTTGCCTGAAGGCTTCAGTCTATTGAGGAGGAACAAGCTGGGCTCCACTGTGGGGCTCTAAGAGTCCTGAATTCTCACTGGGTTGGTGAAGATTCCACATACACATTCTTCGATATTATCCTCATTGATCCATTCCATAAGGCAATCAGAAGTAATCCTGACACCAAACTGGTCCACAAGCACAGGGAAACTCGAAGGCTAATATCTGTGGGCCTCAAGAGCCATGGCCTTGGAAAGGGCTACAAGTCCCGCCACGATACTGGTGGTTCTCGCCGTGCAGCTTGGAGAAGCCACAATGCTCTCCAGCTCTGCCATTACTGCTAATATAAGTAATGTCTGTAAAATTCTTACCTAATAAACAATTTAGGATAGTCAAAAAATGTCATAAATTTCCGAGTATTGATTTTGTATCCTGCTACTTTGCCAAATTCATTTATTAGGTCTAGTAACTTTTTGGTTGGTGGAATCTTTACGGTACTCTATATACAGATCATGTCACCTGCAAATAGTGGCAGTTTTACTTCTTCCTTTCCAGTCAGATGCCTTCTATTTCTTTTTCTTGTCTGATTTCTGTGGCTAGGACTTTAAGTAGTACTATGTTGAATAAGAGAGATGAAAGTGGACATCCGTCTTCTTCCCGATCTTAAGGGGAGCACTTGTAGTTTTTGCCCATTGAGTATGATGCTGGTAGTATGTTCGTCATATATGGCCTTATGTTTAGGTATGTTCCCTCTACTCCCACTTTGCTGAGAGTTTTTATCATAAATGGGTGCTGGATTTTATCAAATGCTTTTTCTGCCTCTGTATGATCATGTGGTTTCTATCCTTTTGTTATTTTCATGGACTTTAAAACAAATAGTAGTAGTATTTATATTGGCAATCTAGGCCTTTGAAAATATAGCTCAAAAGGAAAACTCGCCCACCTGTGTAAGTGACTCATGTTTCTGTTGTTGATTCTGTGGGTCCTGTTAACGGTGCTATAACCGGGGCCCTGGGTGACGAGGACACTCACTGAACACCATGTCATCGTGGATACTTATACATACTTGAAACGTGGAATAAAAGGTGTATGATATGCGTCTGTGTTTCATTGGACCGCTGCGCCCAGCCCCGAGCAGCAGAGTTCCTGTCTTGTCCGCCTACGGGAGCCTCGGCTGCTCAGGTCCACTTCTGCCAGCTGGGGTGGTGTGGCCACAGCGGGCTTCCTTCCAAACACCCCCAAAGGGGCAACTCCTGCCCCTTGAGAGCAGTCTGAGGAGGTCACAAAACTCAACAAAAATACAAGTCACGACCTTTCTGGAGCTCTTGCTTTTTACTGAAACTTGTCAGGAGGTACAGCAGTTGTGTTAGGACCAGAGGGACAGAGATTTAAACTGTCCCAGGGGATCCACACAAGGCAGGGCCTGGGCCGGCCCTGGGGGTCAGGGTGGTGCCCCAGGGTGTGCAGGTCCGGAGGGTTTCAGAGCCCTTCCTGCCCAGTGAGGGCAGGCGGCCAAGCCAGCCACTCACCCAGCCCCCGGCTCCCTTGGGTCAGCACGTGCCAGCAAATCAAAGGCCCACAATGCCCTCGAAGCACCTCGGCACAACTCCATCCAAACCAGAAAAACGGTGCACTGGGACCCAAGGCCACAAAGGTGCCTTGCATCTGTTCTTGTGACAGAGGCAACCTCAGTGGCCACTTCAGATCCCACCTTGTGGCTCTGCTCATGTTTATTTAGCAAGGAGCCCTTCTGTAGCCCACTAACAGGAAATATCAGGGCCTTCCCCGGGAGGCCAGGGCCGTCAGTTCTGCCGTGGCTACAGCCATGCTGCAGCTCCCAGTGGCAGGTAGGACGCCCGACTCGTGAGGGGAGACACAGCAGGCGTGGCCTACTCCCCCGGCTGGGCAGGCTCTGTGCACAAACGCCTTGCAGGCCCAGCAGAATCCTCCAGGCCAGTTTCCGGGAGGGACCAATTTCTTCAGCTTTCTCAGGTCTAAAATGGGAGGCAAACAGCACCCCCTAGTGTCCCACGATAGATCATTATTTTGAAGCAATCCCATTTGACCTTTAAGTTTTTATTTTTTTCTCAATTTCAGAAAGCAGACCAAACTGAAGCCCACTACGCCCCACGGTGATGCCCCACACTCCAACGGTAGTACAGGGCCGTTGTCTTTGCAGAGGTTTGTGGGGGCACCGGCTTGTCCCGAGGATGCTGAGCCGGGCTGGCGGGGCCACTCAGGGCCTCGGGGAGGTAGGAGACTCAACAGCAGGCGGCTCTCTCTTTTTGTGTTGAAGCCCCAGGGCCCGGGCCACCAGCCTGCGGGCCACGGCCGTACTTGTGTGTGGTCTCTCCTTCGCCAGACGCAGGAGCTCTAAGAGGAAAGCCCCAAGGAGCAGGGGCTTGAATTCAAGGCCATGGCCACCTCTCCTCCCAGCTATACAGCAGCCTCGGAGGCCATCAGAGCCAACCTTGCTGTGCCCAAAGCATGGTCAGATGCCAGTGAGAGGGCCACCGCAGGTTCCCGGGTCCTAACGCTGCCACCTGTCTGTGCCCTGTTTCTTCACCTGCACAGGGGCACGCAGAAGTGTTAACCCCCTACACCTCCCGGCCTTGCAGTGCCATTTGGGAGGGAAATCGAGTCAGGATAGGATACCTGGAGCTCTACGACCCACAGGATATTTACTGTCCCCAAGAGGAATGTGACAAAGGCCACAAGAGCGTGGGTGGTGTCAGTGGGTCTTTTGGGCCAGTTTTGCTGGCAACTGCTTTGCAGCCACAGGAAACTGGCCTCTAAGAGCCCCCATCATGCTTTCTGGAAGGAGAGGGGCTGTCATTGATTTGGTACCTCTGGGGTACCTCTTGCTTCCCCTGCAGGGTCTGCCATGCTCTCTGATCTATGCCCCCAGCATACTCTGTACAATGTGCTTACTTTACAGGGAAGGAAACCAACTCACAGACATGGACTTGTTCAAGGTCAATTTAAATAAGTGACACACCCAGGATCCCATGCAGTGCGGACTCTTTTTACCCCACTGCAAAATATGGTTCCCACAGGCTCGCAGAAAAGACCATGCTTGTCCCTGAGCAGCACCCAGCAGCGGTGTGGACAGGAAGGTCCCACCACCCTCCCCGCTGGGCCTTGCCTTCCCTAGGCACCCCCAGGCCCTTGGGGGTGGAAGGAGCACCACTGAGCCCAGGGCCCCAAGCAGAGAGCTGAGCAAGGGGGCTTGAATGGCAGGAGAGGGCCCACATCTAACCGCACACACGCAGCCTTCCATCACAGCTGCTCCCGTACTTGGCCTCTGCAGAGCTTTCAGCTTTGACTGCTTGCTTCCCTGTGTGAGTGGCCGGATCTTGAGCCCTGAGAAGTTCTCGGTCAGGGCTTCAGTAGCTGTGTAAAGAAAACGGATCTGGAGCCCCCTTTCCACCTCCAGGTGAGCCCCCTCAGGGCCCAGGAACACACATACCAGAACCAAAAACGAACCCAGCTGCTTCACGCACCCATTCAAAGCCCAGGGACAGGGCTGCCCAGATGCCATGGTGCTGCCCTGCCCCCTACCCCACATGCCTGCCCAGGCCACCTGGATCTCAGAAGGACAGCCTGCAGAGCCAGCATCCACCCTCTTGCCCTGAGCTACTCAGTAGCCTCCTGCCTTCTAAAGTCCGGGAGCCTCAAATTCTACCCTTTCCCCGACGCAGACCCTGCCAGAGTGCATACCCTCACTGCTCCGAGTTGTACCTGAGCTACCTAAGAACACAGCATGTCAGAGCCGGAGGGGCTTCACATCCAAGCCACCCCTCATCACCTTTACTGGCGAGGAGACTGAGGCCAGGACGTGACGTGCTGGCGCCACACAGCTCGGCCGAGCGCAGAAGGCAGCAGCGGCGGGGCACAGCCCGGGGCATGTTCTTCTCACCGTGCCAGGCAGCCTCTTGGCCTTCCCCCCCTGACTCCTTCAGTCAGCCCTCTGTCTGGGGCTGGAGCCCCCACTGTGCCCTGGTTCCTCTGCTCCCTAAATACCACCCACTCCCTTCCTCCCAGGTTCTCCTGAGCTGAGCCCACACTAATCATAGCCTCTCCCAGCTCCAGTGTCCAGAAGCCCTGCCAAGAGGGGTGCGGGGTTACTCTCTGTAAATACACTCAAAGTGAGCACTGTGACAGGGACCGCTTGGGAAAGTGGCCACGAGGGAGCAGGAACCCTGGAGTTCCAGCCAAGAGGCTGGCTGATATCCCCTAACCCTGAACAGACCACTGACACTAGGGACCTCAGTCCCTGCACCTGCAAAAGAGAGGGGCCCTGCTTCTCAAGGCTGTAATGAAACTGTAAAAATGCCCGTGTTTGAACCATAAAAAGTGGTCAGTGTCTGAATGCTTTTGACCTATAAAAACAGCACTTTCACGTGGTCTCACTTAGTACATGGAAGGGCCTCGGGCCTATGACACGTGCTCAGTGTGCCCTGAACCCTCATGCGAGCGGAAAGGCCGTGTGCTGCTGGCGCAGGGCCCACCCTGGGCCCCGCACTGCTGAACCTGGCGGGCTGGGCATGCGCCCCCCACCCGGACTGGATGGCTACACCAGGGAAACCAAGGGCCCCTCCATTCTACTGTGAAGCCGCAGTACCTGAGGCCACGCAGGGGAAGACACCAAGTGCGTGTGTGTCGTCCACCCACTGAATCTTGAACTCCTTCTCTCTGAGACAGGGAAGAGGAAATAGGATGACTATGAAAGCAAATGGGCCAAACCCATTCTGCTAAAGGAAGCCCCCCCACCTCCAACCCTCAAACACTGTGAGCCCAAGACACATTCCCTCTCCTCTGAGAAGCAGACGACCACCTGCAGGCAAATTCTCTGAGGACCACATGGGTAGCTACAGAGACACAATACCACCCCGCTGATCGGGGGCCCGATCCCTAGATCGGAAGAAGCCAGGACTGAAAGGGCTGGCAGAGCACGACCAAGGGTGGGGAGGCGCCTCCGGGCACCGTCAGAGCCTGGCCAAGGGCATGGGGTGAGGCTGGAGACAAGAGGGTAAGTGGCTGGGACAAGGGACAGGACCTAAAACACACGTGTCAGTGCTGCTGGTCCCGATCAACCTCCTTCCCACTGCTCAGGAAAACACCGCTGAGTCCCAAGGCAGGAGAGGCCAAAGCAGGCCCTCCCAGCGCCCGGCTCCTGCGCAGCAGCCCCAGGCTAGCCACACCCGCAGGGGTCAGGAGCAGGTGAGCCCCTCGAGCCCCACCCCTGCCCCTTCCGCTCTCCTCCAGCTTAGGCTCCAGAGGGCATGGGAGGGCGGCGGCAGGGCAGTCAGCAATGGGGCCATGGAGGCAGGGGCTGTTAAACGCTTAAGCGGGAAAAGAGAATGGGGCTTGGAGAAAGGAAAATGAGCATTTAAAAAAAAGAAAAAGGAGAAAAGGTGAGTTGGATTTAAGGAATGTGGGGGAACAGGAAAATACTTTGGCTCCCATCACCACCCCGACTGTTCCCCAAACTCAGCTCTGCCCAGGGATGCTGCTTCGCAGAGGCAGGCGGCCCCCAGTCTGCTGATGGGCCGACGGGGAGGCTGGGGTGTGGAGCAAGGGGGCGGGGAGCCAGGGATGGGCTACCTTCCTTCTGCCGAAGGGCCCCTCTGGGGCCTGATGGGCATGCAGACGTGCAGGGGGCAGGGCGGAGGAGCTGTGTGAGCCAGCAGGACCAGGTCCGGGGGCCTCTGGAGCATCCCTACAACCAAAACTCACCCACTGCTTCCCTCTAGTCATGGCCAGTAGGCTGAACTGCCCAGAAGTCTGGAGCCCAGAACAACGGCATCCACTTTCTGCCTTTCCTCCCAGATGGCTACACATCGGAGAAGGGGGCAGGCAAGTGTGTCCAACAACAGGGGGATGCCCTAGCTCCTCTCAAGATTCTGCCTCCTGAAGCCTCGCCCACACTCACTGGAACTCGGAAAATGCCGCCAACAGGTCCTCAGTCTTGAGCGCTGGTTCAAAGTCGTAGATCTCCACCACGTGGGCAAAATCCTGCTCTCCAGGCAGCTCCTCTACGAAGGAGGACGTGTCCACGTGCGCCTTCTCTACCTGAATCTCCTTCTCGGTCAGGTTGTCCGTTATCTGGGGGTAGCATGCCTGTTAGTGAGGGCGTGCTCACACAGGGCCGCACACCACTGCTTTCACAACCACGCACAGGCCTGCAGGCTTCTGGGTTTGCAGGGGGCGAGTGCTGGGGGGTGGCTTCCCATGGAAGCCACACACAGCAGGAGTCTCAGAAAGGCAGCACGACAGCATAGTGGACTGGAAGACGGAGAGGGTGCGTTCTGAGGGAGGGAACGGCATTATGGAGCCCCCACTGGGTGACTGGCACTCACACACATTGTTTCACAGAATCCTGAAAACTGTACTCTACACACCCGCTTTGCACATGGGGACACTGTCAATCAGAGCTACGTCATTCTGCCCAAAGTTGTGCAGTCAGTGAGAGACAGAGCGGGGCAGGTCCAGGACCATTCCTTCCCTCCTTAATGTGTGACATTAAGCAAATCTTTCTGGTTATCCTTCGTCTATAAAGTAGCAATAAGAGACTCCTGCCCTCCCAACTCAACGCCACAGCCAGTCTCAGGGAGACACACTATCCAGGGAAACAAGATTTGCGAGACAGAGTTCCAGGCAGAAGAGTAGTTTTCATGACCAATATCTAAGTGAAGTAAGCCCGTTGGCGAAAGGACAAAACCCACATGACCTCACTTATAACTGGACTCTGATGAACAAAATAAACTAACAAGAAAAACAGCACCAGAGACTCGGAAACATGGAACAGACTGACAGCTGTAGGAGGGGAGGAGAGAGTAGGGGTGTGGGGGGAGGAAGGGGGCGGGACTAGTCAAGGAGCAAGTATGAATGCCACATGGACACAGAAAACCGAGAGGGGATTGACTGTGGAAACGGGGGACTGGGTGAAAGAGGGCAAGAGGGGAAAAAATGGGGACAACTGTAATAAACGCTAAACAAACAAAGAAACAAACAAACACAAGTCCACATTCACCCTATCTGTGTTACCTTGTGAAGGGTACACTATCATCTGCCTGTCGGGTGAGGAAACCGAGACTCAGAAAAGCAAAATGACTTGCCCGTAGTCCAACAGCTCCTACATGGTTGAGCTGGGACCCAAATACACACCCCTGTCCCAGTGTTCTTGAACTTCCTCCCCTCCACTGTGTCAGTCCTGACTCCTGTGGACAAGAACCCTGTGCACTCCCCCCATGTCTCCAAGGGACCCCTGTCATCCAGCATGCAGCCCTGCTCAGCCAGTACATGCCCCACACACCCCAAGTCCCGTCCACCCAGAACTGCACCCACCTCACTTCCGCCCTCCCTTTTCCGGACTTAAGAGCCTCATCACCTCCTGCAGCAGCTCACTGTAATCGTCCTCGGAGCAGCTGTCGGGCCCCTCCTCGTCCAGGTCTTCCTCCTCCTCTGCTTCCAGGCTCCTCTCCAGCTCACCCTCATTCCCCTCTCCCAAGTCTGGGTGCAGGGCAGACGAAAGCTGTGTGGCCTCCTCCAGGCTGTCCCCCGTCCCTGAGTGGCTTCCAGGCCCCAAGGGCTGGGCGCCCACTGGGTTGAGCAGCTGCTTGTTCTCACAGTGCTGGCCTGGGTCCTTCAGGTCCTCTGTTGCCTGATTCATCAACACGGGACACTCCTGATCAGAGCTGGGGTTCGCAGCACCAGCATCTGCAGGCTCTTCCAGGAGCCTGCCAGCTGAAGCATCAACCTGGAGCCCCGGGGTAGGGGTTGGTGTCCTTTCTTCTTGCCTGCGCAGTACCCGAGGCACATATAAAGGCTGGTCCGGCTTGCGCCCCCGATGCCCCCGGCCTGCCCGTGCCCTTCGGGGAGTAGCAGCCACTCCCTGGTTTGAGGTGGGCCAAGGACCTCGGTACTTGCTAGACTGGGAGGCGGGAGGGCGGCAGGGGCCAGAGAGTCCATCTGAGCTGGGTAACCTGAAGCAGAAACAGAAGGGGACCAGAGCACGTGTGGGGCCCACGGAAAATGACTTATTTGAGCTACCTGCTTTCAGGCACAAGGCTCTCAAGTCAGCAGTAGGCAGAAATCAATGCCAAAATGACCCCTGAAACCCCCCTAAGAAGGTATCGCAGTGGAGGCTGAATGCTATCTCTGAACAAGCCCAAAGCAGCCAAGCTCTCCCAGCAGTGTTGAAACTGAATGAGATGGTGGGACCTCCGAATATGTACCAGATCAATACTTGCATTCAGGGACTATGTTACTAGAAAAATATTAAACACGGTTGGTTCTCAAGTTTCAGCATATACATATATACACATACATTAAACGCAAGGCTCATGGTCATGATAAGATCCTGTGAGACGCACATGGAAACGAGGAGAGTGACGGCTCAGATGTGCTTTCCACAGTCACCCCATGGCCTCTGGGTCACATGCTTCCCGAGTCCCAGACAGACACCCTCATTGATTAAACTACTCTCTCCTGCTAAGTGAATCCCACAAACAATCCACAGCTACTCCACTGCTGAAACAAAAGGCAGCGCTGACTTTAAGCAACTGAGGCTGAAGACAGAGGCAGCAGCATGGGGGCTCCCTGCCCTGAGTTCCCAACAAGCTCTGCCCTCCCAGGGGCTGACCGGACCCCTCACCACCTGCCCACCAGGAGCTACACAGGGCTCTCTAAGGCAGCAGGATACATACCTGATGTCCAGGTGACAGATGACTGTCCTCCTCTTCCAGCCCTCCCCAACAGAGAAGCTACTCAAAAGATCAAAATGCTCTGCTGTTCTGTGGATCAGGTACCGAAGGCGACTGGAGAGTGGGGGGAAAAGCAGCACCCTGGGAATAGACAAAAGGAGTGCTGAGCAGGGGCTCCGCACGCAGCCTCTGGGGCCCCAACCCCACCAGGTGCATTCGCAGTTTAAAGGTGGCTTAGCATTAGGCTCCCTCTGCCCATTGAGTCCCAGGCTGACTGCAAAGGACCTGAGCATAAGGGTTGTCGCAGGGAGCAACTGGTCCTGTCCCCCCATTCCTGTGATGGGCCCCTTGAGTCTGGAAGTTAATGTTCAGAATGACACAGGAAAAAATGTAACTTGAAGAGGCCAGATCGTTAAACCAAAAGGCCAAGGTCAGAGACAGCTGCAGGCCAGTTACCCTGGAAGCACCACTGGGGAAGAGGGCAGAGGGGGCTGGGTGCACCTTGCCCTTCCTAGCAGCAGGGCAGGCTCCTCCAACACCCTCCCTCCAGCCTACTTGGACAGCTGCTTCTGCAGCAGGAAACGGTCCAGCTCCTCTTGGACACGGTGCACAAAATCATTCTCGGTCGGGGAGAGGAAGACGCCATCCAAGCAGATAAGGGCCAGGGTGATAGGTGGGAGGGCCTGTGGAGCAGATTGCCAGCAGATCAGAGCACAGACCGTGAGCCACTCCAACCCCGCATGTCAGTGCTACAAGGGTCTAGGGGCATCGCGGTCCAGGTCTCTCCCCCGACAAGAGAAGTGGGGACATGCCCGGGGCCCCTGGCACAACAGCAGCTGGGCACGGGTGGGGCTCCCCACCCCGCTGGAGCACACTGCCCTGTACACGCGCTGGGCCTTTGTGTCCGAGCTGAGCGTGGTCGCCCCGGGCTCCAGGGCTCTTGGGCCCAGGCAGCTGAGTCAGGAAGGCTGGGGCCACCCTGGGCCTGCTCCACAGGCGAGGTCGGCTCTTCCCAGCAAGGGAGCCAGAGGCTCGAAGGGCGCGGTCCAGCAGCTACCGAGGCGCTCACCCCAGGTTCTCCCGCCGCACTCACGGAAACCTTCCCACAAGCTGCCGCTGCCCTGAGGATACCCAGAAGCCTGCGCGCCTCTTAGTGCAGCTCGAAAGCCCGAGCCTTGGCGGAGGCGCAGCACCACCACACGACCTGGGGGAGGCATTGCAGAAGCGGCAGAGAGCGTGTGATTGATTTTTTTTTTTTTTTTTTTTTTTTGCCTGGGAGCAGTCCTAGGATCAATTAAGTACAGTCAACGCTTTTGAGTGGCACCTATATACTAGGTCGTGCAAGTAACAGATTTTTGTGCTTCACTGCCCTTCGTTGGCCCTCATTGATGGAACCTGCAAAGAGGTCCAACCCACATCAAAGGGTCATTGGCAAGGTGCACCAGCCTTGTGGGTTACAGGCCAGGATAGTCACTCCCATGGTGATTTGCAGGCCATCAGAATATACGACTTTGCTACATCCATAAAAATCCTCTGGCACCTATCTTAAATAGGGCTTGTAATTCTGTCTATGGGACAGGACTATAATGATCTAGGAGACCGAGGTTGAAATCCATCTGACTGTTCCCTGAAAGGTACTGAACTGTAAATACCTTGACCATCCTGAATTCAGAATCCCAGAAGCAAGCAGGGCCCCTAGCTACCAGCATAGAAGACCCAAATCTCAGGACGATGTGGGGGTGGGGGGAGAGTCTGAGTGGGCTCTTCCTAGGATCTATGGGTAAGATCCCGGGAGAGTATACCTCTAAATGCCGGTTGCAAGAAGAGGCCTGGGGACAGAAAAATGGAGAACGATTAAGATACCTTTAGCTGTCTTGAAATTTTTCCCAGAGTACTTCTAAAAAAGATGGTGCTATTATATCATGTTTATGAAAACTATCTTTCTAATAGTTTTTCCAGAATAAAATGGACCCTTACTGGTGTGGTTCAGTGGGTTGGGCATCGTCCCACAAACCAGAAGGTTCACAGTTCAATTCCCAGGTCCTGGGTTGTGGGCTAGGTCCCTGAGGCTGTATGCAAGAGGCAACCAATTGATGTTTCTCTCCCTCTTTTTCTCCCTCCCTCCCCCTCTCTCTAAAAATAAATAAATAAAATCATTGTTTAAAAAAGAATGAAAAGGACCTAGACTAAAGACAAGATCAAATGCAAAGAGAGCTCAGGGAGCCAAGACATGAGCCCTTGGGGAGCGGGGAGCATGACTATGAGAGGAGACTCGGAAGGCTTGACGGGTCCCCTGCCCCAGCCAGGGGGGCATGCAGCCCCTGGGGCAGCAGAGGGTGAGAGGGCAGCAGGAAGGACAGGGGCAGCCATCTGGGTTCTGACCCCGCCAGCCCCACCCACACTCCATGCTGGCTTAACTGAAGTGGGAGCAGACCCGAGAACACTACGTGTCCATGCAATGCCATTGCTTTGTCTGACCAGGCTTTCCTGACTGTCCACGTGAGGCTGGGAGGCAAGTCCGCCCAGCAGCTGAGGACCAGACACAGCCTGGGGGGAATATGCATGCTGACTTGAAAACAAAGACCCAGCTTTCTCAACAAAGTCACTGTCTCTCCTCTAAACAGAGGGACAAACCAAAAACCCAGGAAACAAGCCACACCTCCACCTCTTTAGAGCTGGTACATGAGACAGGAGTTCAGAAACAAAATTTTCAGAGGAAAGCTGTTCATGAATGCTGTTCCTACAGCAGCAGCATCTTCTGAACAGAAAAGAAATGTTAGGCATGCTGGTCTGAACCGTGGGGTGCCTAAATAAATGGGGCAGGGACCAAAGTTCATCTGCCTGTGCTATGTGGGGACAAATAGCAAGTGAGGATAGAATGGTCCCCATTCAAAGGAAAGTAAACAGAAAAGCAGCACAAAGGATATGCAGAATTTCTACAGCAAAGAAATAAGCATGGCAGCAAAAAGATAGAGGATAAGAGTGTATTGGAAGATTCTCTGGGGAGAAAAAAAGGAAGAAAATTTCAGTTAGTAACTGCTTCACATTCCCAAGGAAATCAATGGAGCCTGATTTCCATGTCACAATGGATAAACCCACAGACTGAGATGAAAGAGAACTGTCAGAGCCATGGAAAGATGTAAAAGACGCAATCATGTTTTTCATAGAAGCAGCAAAAACCCAAGCCCATGATGCTGAAAACAAATCAGTGGCCCGAAGTAAAGGCTCATGAAAACAAAGATAAGTGCTGGTTATGGAAACTGCAAGTGCTTTGGCTCTGCGGCAGCCCCTTCGCTGTAGATTGTTTTCCTTACTGCAGGAGAATGACCCGAGGCCTCGCCAAGGGCATCCAGCTACTAAGGGCAGAGTTGGAACTCACCCAAATCCAGATCTAGCCCGCCTGCCACTAAACACCACGAAATTAAGATTTTTTTCCACCCTTAGAATGGCCTTAGAATTGCCTTGATGACGTGGCCAGGAGCCAGACACAGGAGCCAGACAGAAGTCAGGAATTCAATAAATTAGACAAATTGGTCAGTCGGAGAAGCATGCTGGGTGTGTGCTGTAGATTTTGACCTGAAACAGGAAGTACGATTGAAATATTATGAAAAGATCGAAGGGAGGGGCATGGATGACAAACAGTCCCATCCGAAGGGAAGGACTTACTGCGGTAGGAACCCCAGGTCATAGCCCAGTGCAGCTTTCCTTGCCATGGGTAGGGTCACTGTGGGCACCTGCAACTAGGGAGCCATTGTCCCAGTGTGTCATGTCTCCTCTAAGCCACCTCGACCTGCCTGAGATGGTAATATAGAAACCGAACTGCCAACCTGTAACTGAACAAAATGGAAGTTCGGCTGCCTGCTGCAGCACAAGCCAAACTGGTGAGGCAGGTGCTGGAGCAGGAGGAAAGAGGTTTCCTTCGGGTGCTGCAGGCCCCGGGAGAGAGGTGGACTCCCGTCTCACGGACCATCTCAATCTTCCTCCTCAAACCGAGGTTCTTATGGGGAGGGGGAGAGGAGGGCTTTTTTCCTATGCAAATCTTTTCCGCTTCTGATGCTCCTGGTGCCCTACCCATTCATATTCCTAGCTTTCGGCACACTCAGTGTGAGAACCTCCCCATTACCATCTTGGCTAGTGGAGGAGAGTCGCAGGTGTTCTGACTGTCACTAATATTGTAACAAACCCGGTAACCTCAGCTGGCTTGAGGTGATAAACTATTCTCTTCTCTTTGTGTTTAAGGTTAAGTTTAAGACTTCCGGCTGAGATGGAGGCATAGGTAGATACACTTTGCCTCCTCACACAACCAAAAGAAGGACAACGACAAAACAAAAAATAACCAGAACTGCCGGAAAATCAAACTGTGTGGAAGTCCAACACCAAGGAGTGAAAGGAGAAACATCGAGACTGGTAGGAGGGGTGGAGACTGGCAACCAGGCGGAGCGGACTCACGGCAAGGTGGCAGTTGGTGGAGCAAGTGGTCCCACATATGCATGCAGATAAACAGGGAGGAATAACTGCAGAGAGAGGCAGGTCAAGCAACCCAGGGTTCTAGAGAAGAAATAAAGCCTAGAAACCTCCGACTGAAAAAACCCATGGGGGTTGAGCCAGCAGGAGAAACTCCCAGCCTCACAGGAGAGTTCATTGGAGAGACCCACAGGGTCCTAGACTGTACATAAATCCACCCACCCGGGAATCAGCACCAGAAGGGCCCAATTTGCTTGTGGGTAGTGGGGAAGTGACTGAAAGCCAAGAACCAAGAGCCAAATAAGCGGCACTGTTCCCCTATCAGACCCCTTCCCCACATACAGCACCACAACGCAGCTATGTGGGTTGCCCTGCCCTGGCGAATACCTAAGGTTCTGCCCCTTCCTATGCAACAGGTGAGCTGAGACAAAAAAAAAATACAACCCAAATGAAAGAACATATCAAAGCTTCAGAAGAAATACAACTAAGCAATGAAGAGATAGCCAACCTATCAGATGCAGAGTTCAAAACACTCGAAATCAGGATGCTCCCAGAAGTGGTTGAGTGTGGTTGCAAAATAGAGAAAAAAGTGAAGCCTATGAAAAGTGAAATAAAGAAAAATGTACAGGGAACCAACAGTGAAGGAAAGGAAAGTGGGACTCAAATCAATGATTTGGACCAGAAGAAAGAAATAAACATTTAACTAGAACAGACTGAAGAAATAAGAATTCAAAAAATGAGGAGAGTCTTAGGAACCTATGGGACAACTTTAAATGTTCCAACATCTGAATTATAGGGGTGCCAGAAGGAGAAGAGGAAAAGCAAGTAATTGAAAACTTATATGAAAACTTATTTGAGAACCTCCCTAATCTGGCAAAAGAAATAGATGTCTAGGAAGTCCAGAAAGCTCAGAGAGTCCAAAGAAAGTTGGACCCAAGGAAGCACACACCAAGGCACATCATAATTACATTACCCAATATTAAAGATAAGGAGAGAATCTTCATAGCAGCAAGAGAAAAGGAGATAGTTACCTACAAAGGAGTTCCCATAAGACTATCAGCTGATTTCTCAAGAGAAATCTTGGAGGCAGGAGGGGGCCGGAAAGAAGTATTCGAAGTTCTGAAAGTCAAGTCAAGGACCTACATCTAAAATTACTCTATCCAGCAAAGCTATTGTTTAGAATGGAAGGACAAATAAAGTGTTTTTCAGATAAGGTTCAACATCACTAAGCTCTTATTATATGAAATGTTAAAGGGACTTATCTAAGAAAAAGAAGAAGATCAAAAATACAAACAGTAAAATGACAACAAACTCACAACTATCAATAACCAAACCTAAAAAAAAAAAAAAAACAAAAACGAACTAAGCAGACACCTAGAACAGGAATAGATTCACAGAAATAGAGATCACATGGAGGGTTGTCAGTGGAGAGAGGGAGGGGGAGCATGGGGGAAAAGATACAGGGAATAAGAAGTATAAATGGCAGGTACAAAAT